CGGTCGGGGCTCAGGCAGCTCCCTCGCTGCGGCGAAGCGCCCCTTGCTGCTGAGACGCTGCGCGGGCCCACGCTGGCCACCGCGTCCGAGGTCCCCTCCCCCTACACGCTCACTCGCTACTGTGCGCGCCCCTTTCTTGAGAACGGCTCTCCCACAGTCCGGCTCTTGCTGAAGTGCGCAGACCTGCCGGCCTCGCGCCGCAGGGCCAAGGGTGGTTCACAGCCCGGCGCCGCCGGGGTCCCCTGGGGCCGCTGCATGTTGCACTCAACCCGGGGAGCCCCGAGGGCAGGGGTGCGTGGAGGGGCACCCGGCGCCCAGCCCGCACCTACCGTGCTTGCTGGGGTTCTGATCGAGAGGAGAAGCAGCACCGGGCAAGTTATCCATGGGGCTGGGGTGTGTCCACTGGGGGAGGCGAGACTGGGACGGAGACGGGTCCTTGGCCGACAGGCCGCCGGTCATGTCCACGCCGCCGACATTCAGGTTCGGGTTCAGCCCAGCTGCAACAAAGGCGCGTCAGTGGGCTGCGCCCGCCTGAGGGCGGCGGCGGCAGTGCCCTGAGGTGAGCGAGCCCCAGGGCACTTCCCTTCAGGGTCCCGCATCTCGGCCAAGCTCAGTCCCGGGGCCTCTCAACAAGAGGCCAGAGGAGTCCCAACGACTAGGAAACCTTTTCCGGCTCAGGGTACTTCAGGCAAACACACCAGAGCCAACCAGGCTTTTGGGGCGCCGCAGCTCACGCCGGAGTCTGCCCAGCGGCCGCCCCCGAGTGCACTTCTCAGGACGCACCCCTGGCTAGGCGGGGGGTTGGGCAGTGGTGGAAAGCACCCCCAGATGGGCCGGGAGGCCGCCCCAGCAGACCCCCGGCGGGCCTATGTGGTCACGGGCCAGGCAGACCTTCCCGGGCCCCGGCCGGGCCTCCTCCTTCCTTGGCCCCAGAGATGGCGCCGAGGCCCGCCCGGCGCTCACGGGACTCCACACCCGGTGGGCTTCCTGGCCAGCCCTCCTGTGCGGCTCCGCCCTGCAGCCCAGCGCTCTGACCGGCTGCGGCCCCTGGGTCACAGGCAAGGGGTCCTGTAGGTTAGGGGGGCCTGCGCCCTGCTGTTGGGTTGATCCCCACTACGCGAGCTGTAGTGTAGCCCATCACTGCTTTTGAGAAGTGCCTGGTGCTTCGATCCAAACCACCTCCAGCATGACCAGCCCACTCTGCCCCTGTGGCCAAGGCCGGGGTGTCCCCGCCAGGCAGGAGTCGGTGAGAAATGGAGCCGGCCAGGGGCTCCGCTGGACGTGGGCAGCGGGGCTCTCCCCGCGACTGGGTGGGCTCTGCAGGCTGGCGGCTGCTGCCTCCCCAGGACGCCCGAGCGCTGCTCTGATGGCCGCAGCTGGGCAGCCCCGGCCACCCCGCCCTCGGCCCGTGGTGCCCCCAGTGGGCAGCCGCTTGGCTCACCGAGAGGGTAGGGAGCAAAGGTGCTGGGTGAAGACTGCTGCTCTTTGGTCTGCAGGTCGGGGAGGCCGGG